ACATAGAAATGACATAGTATTGACAATACAAGGCCTCATAGTAAAAGGTAGGTGTACATCAACAAAAATTACATGGCAATTAAATTGTTCCACTGTTGCACGCGAGCATGGTACAAAGCATCCCAACCCTCCACGCTTGCTCTACGAATTTCATACCACTTCGGTATGATATGTGGGACCGGAAAATCGGGTGACATGTCTAATCGGATAAAATGTCTGTATGACGGCCCAAGAAATCCAATAGCAACGTCCCTTACCGGTCTGGTGACGGTCTCGCGCGAACACCAGGGCAGAACCGTTGTACATGGATAATAGGCTCGACTATGTAAACCAAGGCCGAAATGCATGACTGCACACTTGTAGATGTTTGCAACGGCAAAGAGATCAAGTGGCGCATCGAACCAATGATTTTGATCGCAAGGTCCCCCTCCCCACCGGATACGCTGCAGAGACCTATCCAAGTCCTCGCCGTACACATGGCCATACACATCTCGGTTTGATGCGATTTCACTGTACATCAACTGCCGCACTAAACCGTAGTTGTCTTCACCCATTTGAAACACATCCGCCACAACCCGAAATCCGCAGTTACCATCTGCAATGACATCATTCCACCCGTCCAAGAATGGCATCATGATATTAGGGATCCTGTCCTTATATGGAAAATGTTCAATGTCCATTCTCCCTGTTACACACATCAATAAACACAATAAACAAGTCAACAGTAAACTAATCAAACAGTCAACAAAAGAAATTGAAGTCGAATGTCTTACCGGTGCCGGGCATATTCACCGACGACGATGATTGGCTGCCACTTGATGAGGATGTACGACCACGGCCACGGCCACGGCCACGACCGCGAATGTACTCAAACGCACTCTTGTTCCGCCGTGGTTGTCGACCCCTAGGTCGCTCGACCCCTTCCGGTTCCTCGGTATCCAAACACGATGTATTGAACATGTCATGAAGTATGTGTGTAGCACTACGAATGATCGAAGGGTGACTGGAGGACACTTGGTCAAACATCAACTGAAACTGCTCCAACTCCTCCTGTTCACGGTGAACCGTATGCGGAACAGCATGCTCTCCGATAACGAGCGTCCGCCAGAATGGATGAACCTGATCGACATGTAACGACGCCCTGTCTTGCGTAATTACGCGGTGAATGGTGCATGCACAAGGTAATCCATGAGTCACTGATATAGCACATCCGCACCGAATAGCCACTTCATCGCCCAACTCCCTCATCCTGGTATACTCGCTCAGAATCAACCCCAAACAGTGGTGTGACACACGACCGTGGAGAATCTTAAATATGAAATGGCCATACAACATGCCATGTCGTCGTCTGGAGTCCTCGAGATAGTTCTTGATGCCGTTCCTCTGAGTATCAATAGCCTTGTTTATTCTCTCGAACAGTGTATCCAGAGCAGCCGTGGAAGAATCAATCCAGTCCTTCAAAGCTCTATGAGCGCTCTCGACTCTGCATGTCGTAGTGTTCCCAAAATGAAGAACTTGGTTCGTCCAATATTTGACAAACTTTTCCCTCTGAGGTACCCACTGGTGCATCACATAGTCTACGATTGGCGGGCACCACTTGTACGCATCCTTGAAGTTTTCCAAGGCTCGATCGTACTCTGCCTCTGTGGTAGCTTGCATGATCTTCCGCCACTTACCATTTACCAATGTCTCTGCTGTTACTAAATTCTTGTTGAAAATATTGTAGGCTTTGACTTTCACGCAGTTGTTGATGTGCCATGTGCACAGTAAATGGCTCGACTCCGGAAACAGCTCCGCTATAGGGGCAAAAAGACCTCCCTCACAATCACTTACGATGGCCGATGGCTGTACATTTGGGCCGATGTAGTTTCTCAACTTTTCCAACACCCAACGGTAACTCGCAGCCGTCTCATCCTTCATGACTGCATAACCAATCAGAAAGTTCTGGTTCGTTGGAGCCATCCCAACCATCTCAACCAGTGGGAACTTGTACTTGTTTGTCTTGTACGTTGAATCGATCAAAATCACAGATGGCCAAGACGAAATCATATCAGCACAATCAGGATGGACAAGGAACAAATGAGTTACCTCCGATGTGTCTTCGTCAGATTCAAACCAGTAAAGGTAACCACGTGCTTGTGCCTGGTGCAGAAGCTGCTGTATAGGGTTCCTTCCCTCTGACCGTTCAAACCTCAATTTCTGTCTGACGTTGTAGATGTGTCTTCGGTTTGGCTGGTCTTCGGGGAATTTCTCTAACACAGACGCTAATATTTTAGCGGGCTTCACTTGAGCATCACTCATTTCTTTTACAACTAGTTTCGCAGCTGGACTTAGGCCGCTTAACTGCCGATGCCCCACTTTGTATGCTATCAGCTCATGGTTGTGATATCCCCATTTGCCGTAACCCTTCACTTCCCAACCGTCACGCCTTTGATGTTGTCGAACCTTAACTCGGAACTGACACCCACAACCTTTCCGCTTTGAGTCAAACCGAATCGCTTTACTGAAATCTCGTTCTTCTCTTTTGCGATAACGGTCGCATCTCAAAATGCGATCCATTCTACCATCCCGTTGAGATTTATGAGTTGCTACTACTAAACAAAAGCCTGATCTAATTGCAACCTGTTTTGCCCAATCAATCGCTTGTTGAGCATCTTCGAACAGGCCATCATGTACAAAAATCCCACTGTAATCATTTCCGTCTCCACCATAATCCTGTAACAATAACATATAACGTATAAATATAATTACATTAAGATTAAATTAATACACTTAACACAAAATTATCACAAACGCAATTTCTAAATTTTAAATTTCTAAATATCATTTTTATATTTAACGCATAATACATTTAAAAAAAAAAATAATAACACACATTTCATTTCAAATTTATCAAACATAAATAAACAAACAAAAAAAACCATAATAAAAAAAAATAAACAAATACAAAACAAAATAAAACAAAATAAAACAAAAACAAACACAAAATAAAAGATGCATTAAAAAAACTTAATTAAAAAAAAAATTAATTCCCTCCAAAAAAAATTAAAAGGAAATAAAACAACACAAGCAAACAAAAACAAAAACAAAAAAATTCCAAAAAAAAAACAAAACAAAATAAAACACCACAAGCAAAAAAAAATCAAAAACAAATCAAAACAAATAAACAAAAAAAACAAAACAAATAAAAAAAAAAACAAAAACAAAACAAAACCAAACAAAAAAAAAACAAACAAACAAATAAAAAAAAAAACAAAAACAAAACAAACAAACAAAAAAAAAACAAACAAACAAATAAAAAAAAAACAAAAACAAAACAAACAAACAAAAATAAAAACAAACAAACAAATAAAAAAAAAACAAAAACAAAACAAAAAAACCAAAAAAAAAAAGGGGATTAAATTAAAAAAAAAAAAAAAAAGAAAAACAAACAAAAATAAAAACAAACAAACAAATAAAAAAAAAAACAAAAACAAAACAAAAAAACAAAAAAAAAAAAGGGGATTAAATTAAAAAATAAAAAAAAAATAAAAAAAAAAATATATATTCCCCTAGTGGCGCCTGGCCAGGACGCCGGAGCCACGGCCTGGGCGCCTGGTCAGGACGCCGCCGCCATGGTGGCGGCGTCCTGGCCGTGGCTCCGGCGTCCTGGCCACGCGCCACTACCATGGTCGAGGCTTCTCCACCAGGCGCCGTTACCACGGTGGCGGCGTCCTGGCTAGGCGCCACAACCACGGCATGGCCTTTTGGCTAGGCGCCAGCCACCATTTCGTCCTTACGATGCGTTACGAACCTCGTTTTCCGATGACGACGGCGATTCTCCGGTGATCCTCGGCGATCCGGTGCTGCTCCACATTTTTTTAGTGCGAAAAATTTATCTTCGGTTAAAATTATAAAAAGGGCAAATTTGTCAAAAAATTATAAAATGTGGGCTTTATGTAGAGATTTGCGGGCGATGAATAACAAGTCCCCATCGAAAACCCTAGCCGCTAAGGTTTCGTGGTGGTGGGAGGAGCAATTTGGGATTTTTGGCTGAAACCTCTGTTTTCGTGGCTGGTGGCTGCAATTTTGGAGATTCGTGGCTGTGATTGTGGGTTTCGTGGCTGCGATTTTGGGGTTTTGATGGCTGCGTGGGGGAATGGGAGGGGGTTTCGAGGGAGGGGGGAAAACGGCGACGCAAGGAGTGGGGGAGACGCGGCGTTCCGGCGAGGGGAGGGGCGGCGGACTGGGCAGTGGTAATGGAGGTTAGGGTGGGACAGTGGGGGAGGGGAGGTTAGCTGGGTTTTTCTGATTTTGTTTTTAAATTTTTAGACCAATCAGGACTTGATACGTGTCAAGTGACCTGATATAACAGGTTTACTTACCGGTTGGGTATGAAGAATACCTTAAAGTTGGGATTATTGAGGAATAATCCAAAGTTGGGATTAATGAAAATAAATTGGTGAAAGTTGGGATTAAAAAACGGTATTAATCCAATAATTTATTGTTGTCATTGTATTCTAATTTACTCACAATAAAAAAAATATAAATTAAAAAGTCTTTTAAAGCGTCTATTAAAAATTCTTTAATGCGTCTAATATAAAAAAGAAATTACTCCCTCCGTGTTTTAATAAGTGTACACTTACCAAATGTGGTCGTATTTTAATAATGATAAACTTATTGTTTTTGGAAAAAAGGTTACATTTTAATATTATATTTCTCTCCTCTCATGGTCCCATCAAAACCCACTATAATTTTTTTATTTCCATTGATTACTTTTCAACTATTAATCGCACTATTTTCTCTTACATTTTTTTAACCTTCTAATTGTATGTCTGTACCACTCACCTCTTATTTTATTTAAGTCAATTAATTTGTCTAAAATTATATGCCCATCTTAATGTAATACTTAAAAAAACACAAAGGTGTATTTAAAGTATCACTTGAAACAAAGTGCGGGTAACACACTAGTTGAGAGTAATAATAAACATACGTGGACTTGCTTATCACCACTCACCAGTCACCCACCACTCATCTTGGGTAGAATCATTAGTTCCCAAAACCAACCCAATCCATCAAAACCAGCAAACTCCCCACCCAAAACCAAAAAAAATCGCCACAATTTCATAAAAATGGAGTTACTCTATCTCTTAGGCTCCATAATTTGGAATTCCATTATCTCCTTTGCTCTTTCTCTCCTCCTCCCCTTCCGACTCCTCATCCGTCGGGCATTCCCTTCCGATGACGACGGCATCATTCTTTACGAAGGAGTTGTTTGGCACGAACGCCGCCGTCCTGTCCACCACTCTTTTAAATACAATGTTCGTTATGCGCTCATTCATCTTGATGTCTCGCCTCTTTCACCTTCTTCTAACCATCTATCGGCTGACGAGGCTCGAAACATTACTGGGACTACTGGCCCCGTGTAAGTTTAAACTATTCGCTCTAGCCTCTAACAGACTTTTTCATGGTATTTAAGAAAGTAAGCCTCATATAATTTTAATATACTTAAAATGGGGTTGAAACTACTCGCACTTGACATTTTTTCATGGAATAATCACTTCTGGTTCATATAACCGCCCTACTTATGGAATGAAGACTTTGATGGATGGATTGATTGATTGATTGATAAAATGGGGTTGAGAGATTGTTCGAGTATAATAGTACAACTTTCAATATAAAAACTTTTCGATTATAATGTGTTGCAGTATTAATAACGAATGAATATTTTGGAGTCCATTTGCTGTTCATAAGTTGAATCTACATTCATTCTGTAAAAAGTCAGCTGTGTTTGGAGTCTTGGATGATAAACTTGTCAATATGCCATCAATTTTCTTCCAAAATATCAATTTAGGAATTTTTAAGAATATTTGGCCTAAATTATGTACGTAGTGTACATTTCTGAAAAACAGTGCTTTTATTTTGCAGTTTTCTCTTAACAATACCGCCTAGTGTGGGATATGAACAGAATCCGTTGAGTTTATACTACTGCTATGACCAAGAAAACTCTTCTACCAGTTTGAAGAAGTGTATTGCAGAGGTAATACTGAGATTGAATCACCTTTCAAATTCTTTATGCATTACTCTTTTGATTCTGTCAATATAGATTCCTTTAGCATACTGTATTTTAATTTACTACAGTTTATCAGGTTTCATTTTTACTGTGATATTGACAAAATTTGGTTTTCGTCTAGGTAACTAATACACCTTGGGGAGAAAGAGTTTCATTTGTTTTTAACCCAAGCTCAGACGTGGTTGCAAAAGCATTACATGTTAGCCCTTTCATGGTATGACATTGGCAAACTAATTGGCTCACCTTTCTTCCACCCTTCAATTCATAAGTGTGCAAAGCATTATTTATTTTATTTGCCAAGACTCAAAAGATATCACATGTTTCTGTTGTACTTAGATAGAGGTCTTTGCATTTAGACAAGAACTATTATAATTTATTATAATCATAATCATGATATAGGATGATTAGGCTGCAAAGTTATATGCTAGCTACCGCCTACCTTCCTACCATTCTTTTAATGTGGGACAATAATCTTTCGCACAAACATGAGAAATTCCTTATACTATTGAAAGTATAGATTTAAGCACCATCTGTTTGGGTCCCCAAGTGTTAAGAAAACTATAGCCTAAAATATAGCGCATACATGGTGGAGGAATCGGCTATGCATGTGGCCTAAACATTTTCTTCCTAACCTCTTTCAGATTTCTGTTGTTCATTGTGAATCACCTTCTTGGAACCACTTTTTCTAAATAAATCATGGGATTAAATATCAGAGCAGGTTACTGCTTACTGACATCTTAATTTATTCATTTCTTACAATTGAATGGACTATTGTGTTATAGGTAAGACTATTGGGTTTTATATGAATTTCTTAAATAATACTATATGTTCTGTACAATATATATGGAATGTGCTTGTTATAAATCAATAAATGCTGTATAATTTGATTATTAATCTTGTATAATTAACCCTTGGATCAGTTTGTGTCTATTAATGAGAAAAAAGTTTGGTGGGAGATAGGTTAATTTCTCGATGATGTGCTGTATGAGTAGACCTTTTACTCAACGGTTTGTTCTTGATGATGTGCATCGGCAGAGCTATATCCTTGGACTCGTAGTACTAATTTCTCCTGAACTTACTTAATAAACTCAATGGATCTCTGATTTAGAATGTTTAAAAACTAAAATTTATGATTGGATAATTGTTTTACTTTGATGGGTCTCATTCATATGCAGTAGTACACTTTTCTTATGATATAGTAGGTGATTTTAATGCCACTGTGGTATTTGTCTGAAGAATAAAATCAATTATAAATCAGGGCAAATCTGTTGCAGCTGTATTAGCCTGAGTTATGTTAGGATTGCATAAGTATTAGCTGTTGTATCTCAGCATTGCAGATGAGTTTGATATTCTACTCAACTTCTGTAAAGATGTACCTTCAACTATTTGGTGTTAGCCGGATTCCTCATACAAGAACTGATTGCATAATAAATGACGTATTAGAAATCATGCAGGACATGCAAGGAAGTTGGAAAATCAAGGCAACAGCACCTAGAAATGATTTGTCAGTTGTTATCTCTGTTCATCACCCGGATCTTGGCGAACATTTCTGTGCTATATTAAGAGCGCAAAGAGTGAGTTCCTCGAAGGTTGATCAATTATTCTTCTTCTGGTTGATGCCCCACAAAGTTGCGGTTTGGATATATTGGCATGTAAGTGATACTTTTCCAAGGAAAGCAACATTTTTTTTTTCGAATTTGAGCCTATTCAACCTGATCCTACTGCTTGAATTGTTTAAGGATATTTTTTGCATTACTATGATGTTTTTCAAGATACACTTTGAATTACAGTAATCCAGTCATGTTTTACCTGGGTCTGTGGCAGAGGAAGCACTAAATCATTTTCAGAATTAGATAGTTCAACCTTCCTTGTCTCTTAGAGCATCTTTGGAAGAATAGCTTTCAGATCATATAAATAGAAATAGTCTGACACATTTGATTGAAAGTGACGGAAGCTTTGGCTTAGTAGTTAATTGGGATCTTCCATTAACAAGTTGTAGAATGGGCTTTAGCCTTTCTAGGTTTATATGGAACCCAGCATTGGCGGATGAGCTTCCCTGATGAAAGGGATAGTCCTTGGAGCTCTACTTTAGCTCATTGTTACCACTTATTGTGATTGCTCTAATCTTACTTTAGGCCTTTCACATAACATAGATCCCTTGTGGAAATTATTGTTAACTATTTGGGTGTTGAGATCATAATATTTGCAGAAGGAATCAAGCATTCCTTGATTCTGATTTAAATGCCAGTCTGGTTGACATTGACACATCGTAATCCTTGATTTTGTAACAAATTTAAGTCTGGTTGACATTGAAACAGCGTATACTCGTTCTTACAAAATGTTTTAGGATGTTAAAGCTTGAACGATAGCCTAGGCCATACCTTAGTCATACTGAAACCTTGTAAACAATGAATCCCAAGTTTATTGTTTTTAATGCAAATGCCAAATTGAGGCTGAGTTTGTCCTACAGTCAACATATTATGGTCCATTCTAACATTATCCCGAGTATGGACAAAGGACCCTGAGAAGTAATACCAAAATCTTTTGTAAACTTTTGTATAGATGAAAAACTTTTTTTAAATTCTTTAAGGCTTTAAACATTGGAAACAGAGTAGCTCCCGTTAAGGTGCAAGAGCAGTACAAGCTTACTTTAAAGTGTGCAGAACACCTGAATCTGTTTACTTATACCCTTGTTCAATCATTGGCTCATTGCATGCGAGTTTTAACCTCCTTGTACAGACTACAAACATGTATGACACAAGAAAGATAGATACAAGCTTATCAAAATCTTAATAGTACAGAAACAAAAATCAGTATGATCGTGATTACGATTAGCAGAGTTCCATGAATGGTTCTGCTATAGACTTAAGCTATTGACTTCTAGTGGATGAAGTCAAATTATTATTTTCAATGTTTATAAACCGTGTTATCATTATACTGAATACATATCTTGAGAGACCTACTTACAAACTCACCGAATTGAACATCAATGTATAATTTTATTAATAATGAAACCTAATTTGTAGCTTCGTGAGAAGCTAAAAACTTTGCATCATATTAATGACTCCTCTTAACCTCTTTACACCATTCAAGTAGACTAAACCTCCAAGAGTGAGTGTACAATAAAATCTGGTAGATATTTATCCGGAAAATCATCATCAACTATGATCCACATCTCCAGTATTCAAGAAACTCCAAATTCATCATGGGCATTTTGATATATGTCTGGACTTTCTTTATGCTTTTCCATTGATTAATTTCAAGTTATTCTGGTAGCGGCCTATGAATCTTGTGATGTAGGAAACATTTTGTTGTGTACGCACCAATACATACATACATACAACATGCTGTCAGAAACATATGGAGTGATTCTCAATTCCTCTCTCCTGCTCGGTTTTAAAACTTTGTGTATCTTGTCCTCTTTATCCATTAGAGCATCAATGCCCTTTCATCTTTGAATAATCAATCTTTTGAGGACCTCATCAATATATGTATATCTTTGTAAAGGAGTGCCCCATCATAACTTCTGTGTTTGTCTTTTATGAGTTTGATTTCAAGAATACAGCTTACATCTCCAATAATATTTCCTTCATAATTGATCTGAGAAGTCCTAAGTCTTATCTGTCGCCCCTTTTCTATAGGAAGCAAGCTCAATATCATTGAGATACGATATCTAGAAAAAGAACTTGCTTCGAATGACCTTAGCATACAAACACTGGCCTGCCCAACGGATACATGCATCTATGGTACATCATTTATCTAGCCCCTGGCCAGTCAACACTATAGAATGCAGATGATAATCATAATGAAGCAAAGCTTTTTATTACTTTCAGAGTGAGGTGAAAACTTTCCTATTATAAGGCTTCATAGTTTCTTCTTGTCCTCTAGACCTTCCAGTTTCCATAATTTTTTAACTTCAATTTATAAATAAAGTTGTTTACTATAAAATCCCAATATATTATGGCTTTAAAACTATAAGACTTACAGAAAGCATAAGAGATTGATCACGAATCCATGATATTGTAGAGACTAGAGATGACTAGAAATTAGCTAAGGACTCGATGAGACAGTATAGCTCTATATCCTATGTTATGTACTACAAGTAACTTTTTGTGTTTCAACTGATTTGAAATGTTAAAAACTCAAAGCACCCTTCTTAGAATTCTTAGTCATATTTTCTAATATTTTACAGTTTATGCATTGTGTCTTTCAAGATGTGCCCAAGTCTTTTATGCCATGGATTACAGAAGTATTCTGCTAGTGGTATAAGTGGTAATCTATGTCACATTCAAATGGACCCACATAAACAGAATTCCATGTAGGATTGTTCATTTACTGGCAGGATCAACTGTAGTGCTACAAACTTTGAGATGGATTTGCAAATTCAAATTACACATATCTGGCACTTTTTAGTTCTATTCTCATCCCAGCTCACACATTATCTGTTAAATCTTCTTTTGATGAAATATGATCATATTATTGATTTTTAAAGTTTTTAAGTCTCATACATTGGCCATCTGCTTTAAAATCTCTTAAACGAACATTCAGGTAAAATAAAAATAGCATTAACCGGGAGCAAATTGCTCTAGTGTGTATGATCTAACAACTTAACAAGTGTATGTTTTTCCTTTACTCTCTTCATGTGCTAGGCTCTTAAGCTTTGGTGGAAAAGTGTTTCATTCGTCCAACATCCTAGGTATAATAATCCAGCTTATAGAGAGGAAGCTGTATCACGTGACAAGAAGTTAAATTGCTGCAAGGCAGGGGACTTTGAAACAAGTTTGTGCCCCAGAGAAGACAGAAATGTAATAGATCATCAATTTAGTTGGACTGATGCAAAATGGCCTTGGTCATAACTGCTACAAGGTACCACATTTTATCTTTACTGTATCATTTACATAGCTTAGAAGTTGAGTAGCTCTAAATAGGAGATGCCATTTTTAAAAATAATTCGCGTTTGTAGTTATTCTATTGTAATCTTGTGCTGCAATCATGTGTAGGTGGGAAGGATAAGCAACTAAACTCAACCCTGTTTAGCTGAGTTGGAGGAGAGTGAAAGTGTGAAACTTTATTTATGCTGCGGTTGAAAAGGATATTGGGGATGAACCTAGATCATTGAAGACATTGTTCGGACCTTATTGGTGAGCATACCAAACATAAGAAACTTGATGAAATGGCATGTAATGAGGTGTGAGCAAAAGTTGTAAGTTTTCATGTACATGGTAACTTTTGCTTGTAATTCTTAACATACTCTTTGGTCAGGTTTATTATATAATTCACATGTATGCTCTTCGATTATACATCAAAGCCTCATGATAACCTATGACCATCCAGATTTTATTCCAAAAACAAAGCAAGTAGGGTGCAGGGTTATTTGGAAGGGCAGTGTGGAGAATGGAGGATGACTTTTACCGGGTGGGTTTGAAGGACAGGGGAAGGGTTAATATCAATGATACAGTATGTAACGATAAACTGAACTTCACATAGCTTCAAAGGTGCTAACTTTTGGTCTTAAAAGCCTCAAATTCAGTAGTTTATATGTAGCACAACTATTTCTAAGCCGCAATTGTAAACCTAAAGGTGTGCTTCTAGCAATGTAATGTTTGTGCTCAATATATACTTCGTATATCTTTACAAATCTACAGCAGAAGCATACAGGTTAGGGGCTTCTATTAGGAACAAAATGCTAGATAGATAATTACAAAGTAATATACTCCCGCTGTCCCATAATATAGTTTTTGTTTGTGTTTTTTCACGGTATTTAAGAAATAGGCGGAGAAAGTGGATGAAGTACATACTCAAAGTGAAAAGTACAATCATAGACTAAAGTTGGAGAGAGAAAGTGGAAAAAAGTACAAGGCATGTGCAAAATTCAAGGGTAAATTAGAAAGTACAATGAATAAAGTTAAAAAAGTGAGGGTATAATGGTCTTTACATACTAACTAAAATAGAAACAGGAACAATATTTTGGATCTCCAAAATAGGAAAACATGAACTATATTATGGGACGGAGGGAGTACTATAATTATGATTATGCAGAGTTTTTTCTTAGAATTGGCAGCTATGCAAAATAGTTTTAATTGGATTTATCATCTATAGCAGTTCCAAACATTGTTTATTTACAGGGGTCTGAATGCTGTCGAAATCTTTAGGATCATCTTAAAAGCACTTTTTTTTAGTCATATCTGTTTTTTGCTTGGTTTAACTATGAATTGAACTTAGAGCTATTAAACTTTGAGATGGATACAAGTTTTAAAGGTAAATAATGCATACCATGCCTTGAATATAAATTGCCTTTCTGAATCTTCTGTAAATGCAGTGAATGACTTGCACCAATGACGCTCTATGCATTGTATTGACAACTTGAATCTCTTATCATTATATATACTACCTCCGGTTTTTTTTATGTGCAACTTTTGTCATTTTAGTCCGCTCACTATTATGTGCAACTTACTTTTTTCTTTCTATTTTTAGTAAAAAAACTAGTCAAATGTCAATTTTACCCTCATTTAAAAAATTAAAACACAATTTATTAACTATAATCGGATTTTATTAGTCACTAATTCTTACCCAATATTCACCCCAACCAACCCAATCTAATTCATCAACTCTTCATCTTCAATTCAAGAAACCCAAAACCATCCTCATTCATCTTCATCTTCCCTCATATTTTCTCTCTCCTCTTCAAAACCATCTTCATTCATCTTCATCTTCATCTTCATCTTCCCCCATATTTTCTCTCTCCTCTGTCATCCTCATCTTCCCCCATTGATCTTCTTTCTCTCTCTTCAACTTCAACCGGCGATTTCGTGGGTTTTCATGAGGGTGGTGGTGGTTTCGTGGGGTTGGTAGTGGTGGTACTGGTAGTGGTGAAGGGCCCGTGTTGAAGGCGGCAGTGGTGTTGGTACGGTGAAGGCGGTGTGGGTCGTGGTTGTGGTGGGTGGTTGTGGATTTGGGTTTTGGTGTGTGGGTTTTGGTGAGTGGTCGTGGATCTGGGTTCTGGTGGGTGGGTTTTGGTGATTCCATCGGTGGGTTTTGGTGGGTGGTCGTTGTTCTGGGTTTTGGTGTGTGTTCGTGGAGGTGGTGGTTCCGTCGGTGGGTTTCAGTGGGTTTTCGTGAGGGTGGGGTTGGTTTCGTGGAGTTGGTTGTGGTGGTGGTTTCGTGGGGGTGGTAGTGGTGGTGGTGAAGCAGACGGTGGTGTTGGTGAAGGCGGCGGTGGTGTTGGCTGATCTTGGTGGTGGCAGTGGGTGGTTGATTAATTTTCAGAACATTCTCTCTCCACCTTAATTACATACCCCTATAATACATTAATCACCATTATTAAGTTTTGCCTCGTGAATCGTAAAGCCTACCAAAGTTGCACATAAAAAAAATCGGAGGTAGTATATTACAAATGATTGGTTATTTGGTTTAAGTTTCATCTAGTAGATGAGATGTTCAATGTCGGTTTAGCTTCGAGTCTTCAATGGTTGCTATTACCCTATAATTTTATAAATTTTACGTGAATAAATTTTGATTAACTCCAATATTAAAATTTTGCTCTCGAAGGTGGTGTTATGTTTTTTAAATTTAAAAAAAAAAAAGTGTTTTATGTGCGGTTGGTCATACCTCGAGATCGCCTGTAAAATAAATAGAGTAACTCCTATAACATAGACAGAGTAACTCCTACAACACTGTCAGAATAACCCTTATAATCCTAACTGAGTAACCCTTATAATACTAACCAATTAATCTCATGGTGGCTCCTTGACTGGCCACACCATATGACTAGCCACATATAAAAGTTAGTGTTAAAAAACAAAAAGTAGCACCTCAGACCTTGACTTATATAAAAGAGATATACTCCGTACTTAATATTTCTTTCATTTTTTTTTTTTTTGAAAGAATATTTCTTTCACTTCTAAAATCATTACGTCTGAAATTCTACACAATTAACAAAAATTCTTTTAATCGTTGTAGTAGTCTAATTAGATTCATCATGCTCAAAATATTAATTGTATTTTATAATGTAATTTTTAGTAAAGTATGTTTAACGATATTAATGATATATATAAACTCTTTTTTTTTAAAAAAAAAAAAGTTTAATGCTGTAGTAGTACCGCATGTCAACAAGACAACGACAGCTAATAAGGGTAGTACCGCAGTAGTAGTCGACAAAACAAAATCTGTATTGTTGTATATGCAGAGTGAAATCGGTGTGCCGCACAACATGCATAATCCTAAATCCATCATTTTTCACGTGTTTATTTTCTACATTTAATTTTCCATCTTTCTTAAGCTGCGGCTCCTTTTATTTATAAACCTCCACTCAACAACTCTAAGTCTCTCAAACTCCTGCTTTTCTCGCATGTTTTTATAAAGTTAAATCCAATTTACAACCGCCTTTCTTTCTTCAGTCCTCATTAAAATTGGTCATATTTTTCAACATTCTTAGCTTCTCATTTTAATTCCAAACTCTTTTTCTTTCTCTTTTTTCTTTCTGCATATAAATTGGATTGGAATTGTTTGAAAAACTAGAAACAAATTAAAAGATGGATTGTAAATTGGAGCTTCGTCTCTCATCTTCTTCTACTACATGCTCCACGTATGTATCTTATCTTTATCCTTGTTTAATTTTTTTTTTTTTTTTAATTTCTATTAACATATATGGATGTGTTTAATTTATGTACTGTAATTGTGATTTATCTTAACAGAGGATCTAATGTAGATGATTCAAAGCGCGAACAATTGACAATATTCTATAATGGAACAATCTGCGTTTGTGATGTTACTGAAGCTCAGGTATTTTTTTTTATATATTTATCTATTTTTGATATACCCAGAAACGAGCATGCTCTGATGAAGGAATGAGTTAAAAGTTATAATTATTTTTAGAATGATGCAACTAAATTTGTGTTTAATATATTGTTCAGGCAAGAGGTATAATAAATCGAGCAAGTAGAAAAATGGGAGAAGGAACGTGTATATCTCCGGCAACAGGCGGAGCAGACCAAATCTCACCAAAGTTACAATATGAGCAATTATGTAGTCAAACACAAAATGGTCTTTCTATGAAGAAATCTTTGCGACAATTTCTTGAAAAGCGAAGGCATAGGATCAAAGCTACATCTCCATACTATCTAAAGCAGACATATTAAGCATACTATTAGAGTATTAGGATTTAGAAGATTAGAGAAGAATGTATCTGCTAGCTGATTTTTTTGTTGTTCATTTAACTTTCTTTCAGAGGATGATATTTATATTCTTTGTAAAGTTTTGGAATTCATTTTATGTAGAGTTTTCCTCGCTTGATCGAGTATGAAGATGTGATGATGTGCGACTTTTTCAGCAATTCTTTTTGCTAACTATCAGTTGATAGTAGTTCATTTCTATCTTAATCCTACTACATGTTTAAAGTCATTATCCTGCAAGGCTACGACTCACAGCAGCCAAAAATGGACAATATCATTGCTCAAATTATGAATAATAGAAGGATTGTTCTGTACTAATATAACAATTGTCTACTTGTTGGGGAGCTCAATGGTCTTGGAAATTGACGGTTTATATTTGGAGTAATTATGATAAAATACATAAAGATGCCTTCGGAAAATTTCCTAAATGCACCAGCTGGAAGAAAACTGAAGTGAATCAAACAAAAAAAAAAAAAGAAAAAAATCATAATTACTCTGTAACAGCAAATATTCAAAAGGTAAACCAATGCAATAAATTTAAAGAAAGGGAGCATGAGGCTCTAGTCTTTCCTTCTGTATTCAAATGATATAATTACATTTAAATACATCCTAAAATGAGGCAGGGAAGTAGAATAGACGCATCAAATAATTTTTACTTCTGATTCCTGCAATATTTGTACAGAAAGAAGCTTGACATGCATTCGATCCCAACTTTTTGTGTGTTTTTACTTCAAACATACATCGATTCCAACTTTTTGTGTGTTTTGTTGGGTTTGAGAAGTGTGGAGAACGGTTCAAGAAGGCTAAGGGGGTGCATAGCTTAGGATTTTAAGCTATGGGCTATTGCTTGGTGTTAAGCAATGGTGAATGGCAAAGGGCTGACTTCAAATGGCCATATATCAAGATCTAGAAGTTTTATTGAGATGATTCAAGTTTGAGGTGATAGCTCGTCTCAAGAGCTTTCCAACGACTGGTCATAAGCTCGATTTGGTCAAGAGTCGAGGGAGTTAGATGTCCGCGCAGTGCGGGAGTTCGACCGAACTGTTGAAAAGTTTGGTCGAACCTAGTTTTGAGGCAGACTCTGCAGCTCTTTGATCTCTAGAGGAGGTTCGGTCGAATCAAGGAAGAAGTGTGACCGAACCCTGGGTAGGTTCGGTCGAACCAGCAACCCCTGTTTCAGCGACACGATTTCTTTTATTTCGCTCGGGATGTAATCTTAGCTGTTGATCTTCTTGCACTATATATACTCTTGTTTTGTTATTGTAGAGAGAAAGATGATGAAGGGAAAGATGTAGAGAGAGAGAGTCTCAATGTAAACCTAAACACTTAGGGATTGAATTTTTGGTGTTAATTTTCAATTTTGGTGTTGTGGGTGTTCAAAATTTGAGTCTTTGTTATGGATTTTAATTGGTTGTAATTGGAATTGAAAAGTCTTGAATTTTGGGTTTGATTAACAATGGAAGATGGAGTAGGAGGTTGAAATCTATGGAGTATTGATGTTGGAGTTGAAGGATATCAAGAATTTTCCCATCTTGATGGCTACATGTTGTGTGTGAGGGAGGGCCATGGAGAAATTGTTGAGGGAACTCGGGTTTGAAGTTCATGGGACAATTGAGTGGTGCCATGAAACCTTGGAAAGCACATGGGTAGTCATGGGGGTGTGTTCTTTGTGGAGGCATGGCTTGGTCGGATTGCCATTGAGGAAGAGCCATGGTTTTGGTGTTTCAATTGTGGAAGATGGCCGGAAAAAGCATGTCAAGTGAAGGGGTCTCACATGGATTTTGTGAGGTGATGTGAATCTTTGCGGTAGGCATTGTTGGTTGGATTGTCGTTGGAGAGAAGCCGTGGTGTTTGGTGTTTCAATGATAGAAGAAGACCGGGAAAGACGTGCCAAGTGAAGGTGTATCATGAGGATTCACATGGTGGTTGTGAGTGGTGAATTCACACATGGTTTTGTGTGTATGAAAGGCAAGTATATGTGCTTGTTGAGGTGGGAGCATGGTAGGAGTGTTCCATCAACAAAAGGAAAATGCCCAAAAGGCTTGTGTTTGTCACGGAGGGTGAGTTCGTGTGGAGTGCGGTTGGAGTGCTTGGAGAACTAAGAAAATCCCTTGGATAACGTGATGTTTATCAAAGTTGGTGTAAACTTTGATGTTTTCTTCCTCGGTTGACAGGAGGTGTCATTTCCTTGGAGTAGAGGAAATGAGTGTGTTCTTGAGGTTGGTTGTAATCTCAATGTTTGCATTGCCTTCTTGGTGTGTAGAAGGTGGTGTGTTGGAGTTGGTGTAGACTCCGGTTTGCTTCCTTGGTGTAGAGGAAGTGGTGCTTTCTCGGTTGAGAGAAAGTGTTTTATCAAGATTGGTGTTAATCTTGATGTTTGGTCTCCTTGGTGTAGAGGAGATGGTGTCTCCTTGGTGAAAAGGAAATGATTGTGTCTAAAGTTGGTGTAGACTTTGGTGGTGTTCCTTGGTGAAGAGGACGCGTGTTGCACATACACAAGGGCATTGTGTGTGGAAAGCAAGTAAAGCAAAGGATGTTTTGTTCGGGTGGGAGCATGGTGAGTTGTTCCAAGAGCAAAGATGAATTCCTTTGGCTTGTGTTTTGTTTTGGAGGGTGCATGTGTTTGGTTAGAGCATGGTAAAAGTGCATGGAGAACATGGCAAAGCCCCTCGGTTGTGTGATGAGTTTGTCAAGGTTTTGATGTCACTTCCTTGGTTTAGAAGAAGTGGGTTTGCTTTCTTGGTGTAGAGAAAACGAGTCTTTGCTATGGTGATTAGTAAAGATGTTAATGACAATGGTTGGCTCATTGTGTTGGTGTGATCTCGTGATGATAAGTCGATTTTCGGGTTGGGAGATTGTGAGGCTTATGTAGAGATGTTAGAGTACAATGGAGAAGCCATGAGAGTATATGTGTAGTGTGTTTGTTCTCACACTTGAACCGATCTCTAGGTGGGAGATTGTTGGGTTTGAGAAGTGTGGAGAACGGTTCAAGAAGGCTAAGGTGGTGCATAGTTTAGGATTTTAAGCTATGGGCTATTGCTTGGTGTTAAGCAATGGTGAATGGCAAAGGGCTAACTTCAAATGGCCATATCTCAAGATCTAGAAGTGGTAATAAGACGATTCAAGTTGCAGGTGATAGCTCGTCTTAAGAGCTTTCCAATGACTGGTCATAAGCTTAATTTGGTCAAGATTCGAGGGAGTTATGGCCGTTTTACGAAGAGTTGTTTGCGTAGTGCGGGAGTTCGACCGAACTGTTGAAAAGTTTGGTCGAACCTAGTTTTGAGGCAGACTCTACAGCTCTTTGATTTCTAGAGGAGGTTCGGTCGAACCAAGAAAGAAGTGTGACCGAAGCACTTTATGTTCGACCGAACCCTGGGTAGGTTCGGTCGAATCGACAGCCCCTGTTTTAGCGACGCGATTTCTTTTATTTCTCTTGGGATGTAATCTTAGCCGTTGATCTTCTTGCACTATATATACTCTTGTTTTGTCATTGTAGAGAGAAAGAGGATGAAGGGAAAGATGTAGAGAGAGAGAGAGGGAGAGAGAGAGAGAGAGAGAGAGCCTCAATGTAAACCCAAACACTTAGGGTTTGAGTGTTTGAGAGGGTGAGTTTGGGGTGGAGCTTTCATGGTGATTGAAAGCTTGTAAACTACATTAATCTTTATCAAATTGTTACTCCATAGTGGATTGGTGGGTTTTTCTCCCAGTTCTCGGGTTTCCCACGGTAAATTCTCCCTGTCTCGTTTGTTACTTGTTTTTCCGTCTTCGTTGTTGTTAATTGTCGTTAATCGCAAACTAGCTAGCACATTCGGTTAATCCTTTCATGTTTTTTACTTCAAACATACAACACTGCTGTTTAGTTCTAGCAGACTCTCAAAACAGTTAAAATTCATGGAACCCCATGAATAGAGCATCACTACCTTTAAACTAAGATAAAATTGAATAGGACGCAAATATGAAATACGTCTGGTTTCAAAAGTCTATCGTTTAAACTTACTCCACTGTAGTTATTGTGGAATAACAAAGAATTTGTTACAACATAGAGTTATCAGTTCAGAAGTCGCATCATTGATTATGATGAACATTGATGTATGCATAATCATACTGCACCAAGAAATCCCTCACTTTATAGGAAACAGAGGAGACTTATTAAAAAAATTATTTTACCAAGCCAAGATAATAAGGTAAAGCAAAAATGCTAAATATAGCCAAAATAAAGAATGTCATCACTATATTGTATATATATTTATTCTTAAAGTAACACATGAACCAAAAGAACAAAATGTCCCGAACCAAAAGATTTATACATAAACAATGAATCTATTAGGTACGAAGTGAGTATGATCTTCCTAGGCATTAATCACCAAGATCGTCAAATGATAAACTACTTTCTGTTTATGCAAGGCGCTAAGCAAATACTTCGACAAAAAGGAATGAAGTCCTTACTTGAAGAGGATACATATCGACCAGATAATTTGATCTCACTAACTGAGGGTTTATGAAGGTGGAGAATTTTCTCACACAACACATTTTTTTCTCTTCGAACATTTGCATTTTTACCTTGTATGAAAAGGTTAACCGAAAGAAATTCGAACCCTATTCCTTAATTCAAAATGTACTTTATCATCTCAAAATCGGCATTAGTCACACCAAGATATCTTATATCTATCCTCTTTAACCGAGTCCAACAAGAAGGCCAATGATACTTGGAGTGCCTCCAAAGAGGGACAACATCTTAGTAAAAGCAACACATCATTCCATCTACTACTAGCACCATGGTACAGACTAATTCTTAGATTGGACAACGGGAAAATCTCTGTTACTCACTGTGAGAAATAGAAGAGTTTCTCACAGTGGAATTTCGGAAATTAAATCGAAGTTTTTCACTTCCTGACTTGCTGACTCGGATTCGCCTATGTGTCAAGTGTTGCCGAGTGTATCTTGGAGCAATGCTGAGTGGGGACATCCTTCTGTCAATCCATAACAGAGATGACGTTACCTTCTGGACGTTTTGGAGGGAAAGTATTCACAGCTTCCATACCCAGGTTCCAGTTGGAAAACAAGCCTCCATCAATTAGCAGGTAGTTTTCAGTTTTTCACACATTGGAGGCTTGTACAGCTTTCCAGACCCAGTAAACAGACCCAGTTGAAAAAAACGCAC